TTATCAACATCTTCTTCTTCTTGGAGAGCATACATTCTTCCTACTGCCTGTTGGTTAGTCCCTCCTGGTTTCTTTCCATTTCCAGCTCCTTGTGGTTGTGTTCTTGGTCGGCCTGCATTCCTAGAGGCTTGTGGCTGCCCCTTGTTGGCCTGAGTATTTTGAGTAGGCTTAGAACCTTGCCCTGGCTGGCATTTGTTGTATTGTTGTGCCCCTCGTTGATCCGTAAAATACTCCCTACCCTGAGGACACTCACTTCGATGATGCCCTTGCTAACCACATCTGAAACACTTTCCTTTCCACTCATTTACAAAGTTTTCTCCTTACTGGTTTCCTCGATTCTGTCTTTGTTGCTGCTACAATCCTCCGACATAAGGTGCTGGCGAAGGATGGTCTCTGGTGTTGCGGACTGGGCCTCCTCCGCGTGGTTGGTTGTTGTTCCTTGATCGCTGATTTCGAATGCGTTCGGAATCTGCTAACTCTCGTTCCATAATTAAAGCTCGATCCACCATTTGAGCATAGGTGGAAAGTTGCACAGCGATCAATCTTCCTCTAATGTTTATGTCCAAGCCCCATTCAAATCGCCTAACCTTATCCTCTTCATTTGCTACTATGGCTGAAGCGTACTGTGAAAGAGACCGGTTCGCATATTGAGCGACTGACATTTTTCCTTGTTTCAGTTGGAGGAACTCTTGAATCATTTCTTGTCTTAGCGAGTTAGAAAAATACTTTTCCATGAATAGGTCTTCGAATTGTCTCCAAGTTAATGTTTCTACTTGTTGAGTACCTTTGATCATTTCCCACCAATGATCTGCTTCCCCTTCCACTTGAAATGCCGCCATGGTCACTCTATCTTGTTCATTTCGGATGTCAGAAGTATCTGGCAACTTCTTAATTTGTCTTAATCAAGCTTCAGCTTCATGGGGGTTTGGTCCACCAAGGAATTTGTGGGGACGTGGCTTTTCAAATTTTGCTATCATTTTCGATTTGTTTTGATCTTGGTTTCGGGGTGGTATATTGCCTACCCTATCAGCATCGCGCGTATAATTCGAGCGACATCGCCATCAGACACTCTATCACCATTACCCGTTGTTATTATTTCTTGTTCGTCCAGCCATTCTGCATGATGGGATTTTTTTTTTCCTTTAGTAATTCGTGATTTGTTCATTTATTTATTATCATTATTATTATTATTATTATTATTATTATTATTATTATTATTATTATTATTATTATTATGTGCAAGGATAGATATTAAAGTGGTGATTTTATTCTGTCCAGAAAAATTTTCAGAGTATATATCTTGTAAATAAAATTATAAATACATTACTTATACAACTCTAAAATTCATATCAATCTACATGATACTCAATAAACATGTTATGGTTATTTTTCAGAAAGCATTTTCCAAAAATAACTTATAAATAATTCTAAACAAATTCCAAGGGTGTTTATGATACAGATTTGTCACATTTCCTTACATTAATTCTATGCTTAAATTTATAGATTAAATCCATAATCTAAAAATTTATCATGAAACTAGACTTCTCAAATTTCATCTTTTAGTTAGAAATTACTAGATTTGGCTTAGTATAGGATTTTAAATAAATTTTCAAATACATAGTAAAATATGTCTCACAGTTTCAAATTTAGTTAAAAAAATTTATAAATTTGTAGAAAGCTCAAAAATTGTTTCCAAAATTCCTGGATGAACTAGACATCATTATCAACAACTTTGTAGAAAAAATCATCTCAAAATTTTGATTATAAAATTGTCTAAAAATTCGGGCAGCATTCTGGCAGATTCAAAATAGATTAATTATTTTCAATTTTCTCTTCAAATGTATAAACTACACATGCAAGCTCATTTCTTTACAATAATAAGATGATTTTAAGACTATCAACATCTTCAAACACTTGATATACACATCACAAAATTTCTACACATATTCAGGTTCAGGCTCAAGTTCAGGATCAGGTTCAGGGTCAAGCTCAGGCTCAGATTCATAGTCTTCTATAGGCATCTTTACTTCTTCACTTGGGTCAGATTCTATGTCATAGTTTTCCACTGAATTTTCCTCGTTAGAGTTAATGTCTGATGACCCTGGCATACTACAATTAAAAGGTTCTAACTTAGTTAAGTCACCGAAAATTAACGCAAGGTTTTCTTAAATGTAAAAATAATAAATTTCTACCCATGGCCCAAAGGTTCAAGCCTAGGCTTTGATACCAAACTGTGACGCCTCAAATTTTTTTTTGAAACGTCATAAGATTTAAATAACAATAACTTACTAGATAAAATTTTAACTACTAATTAGGAAATTTTAAATTCTTACATAGTCAAAGTCCAACAACAAAATAAAACTACAAGTTCACACACAACGTCACAACATAGTTAACACAAATTTCACATTTATGATTAGGGTTAATTTCAAACTTTGGTATATGATCTAAACCAATTAATCTACGTAAAGCATCAAAATTCACATGTCCTAATCTACCATGCCATAAATTCAACTCAAGAATATAAGCAAAAGATATGTTATTCTTATTAATAGCAACTTTTGGTACAATTGTCATTACATTCAATTTAAAGAGACTATCACTCATGTATCCAACTTTGTTGATAGCATAAGCTATATCAGGACGAGTACAATTCATTAGGTACATTAGGCTTCCAATGATTTGTGAGTATTTTAACTGAGACACTGCATCACCTTTAT